CCCAACCCCAACTCTCAACCCACCACCTCACCCTCCCACCAGGCATAACCCAGGACGAGTTCGCCGTCCTAATCCCTTCCATCATCGACTTCCACACGTACCCAGTGGGTCCTGGTCAATGCTCCTCCCTCCTCGCCCAACGCATCCACGCCCCTAGCGATGTCGTCTGGTCCATCGTCCGCCGCTTCGACAAGCCCCAAACCTACAAGCACTTCATCAAAAGCTGCACCGTCAAAGAAGGCCTCCAAACGACGGTTGGGGCCACGCGTGACGTCAACGTCATCTCCGGTCTTCCCGCCGCCACCAGCACAGAGAGGCTCGATATCCTCGACGACCACCGCCACGTTTTCGGTTTCAGCATCACCGGCGGGGAGCACAGGCTCACGAATTACCGGTCCGTGACGACGGTTCATGGATTCGACCAAGACGGTAGGATCTGGACAATCGCGTTGGAATCTTACGTGGTGGATGTGCCAGAGGGGAATACAGAAGAGGACACGCGGCTGTTCGCTGACACCGTCGTCAAGTTGAACCTGCAGAAGCTATCCACCATCACCGAAAACAAGGCGCGTGATGGTAACGGAACTAAATAACAGGTGAGGTCCAAAACCCCAAAAAAAAAAAAAAAAAAAAAAAAGAAAAAAAGAAGAAGTTCAATTTCTTTTTCTATTTTCATTCTGGGTTGGTCTTGTGAGTTTTTATTCATTCTGGAGATTTTGTTAAAAACTGTATGAAGTTACTGGAATATCCTGTGTGTGAATAGATGAAGGTGGAGTTTGTCAGGATGGCAATGTGAGGAGAGGGTAAGGGGAGGGGTGAGGGCGTTTGATTCAAGGCACATGTAACCATGTACAGAAAAATGTTTGTTTCGAAATGCATTTGGGTTTTTCTGTGATTATGCTTTTCCATGTTTATTAATTTTCGCTGATGACATGCTGTTTTAATTCTTGCAATGAATTCGGACAAGACTCCCTCATGTGTTTGTGTGTGGAATTTGTGCTTTTGACTTTTTTGTAAGAACTTTAGAATCTATAAATCATCAGGATCTTATCTTTTTCTTCCATTGTAATGGAGCAGGCTACTCCCTCCCTCATCCTAGAATACTGTCATATCTACCACCTCTGTCAAAGATTTCTTAGGGGGTATTCTTAATAAAAAAAAATATGTGATCTAGAATAGATTGTATTAAATTGTATAATTTAAATTGTTAAATGACAAACAAGTTTCTTAATGTTGTGGGTATTTTTAATCTAATTATTATTATTATTTTTTGATATTAGTTGTATAATGTGAGGTAATTTTCTCATATCTTTTATTCCACTCCACTCGTATATCATGCGAGTTGAATTCATAATTTTTTATTTTCAATAAAAAAAGATTATCAATGAGTTATTTAGGTCATTAGTTTAATTTAATTATTTTTATTTTATAATTTAATATATTTCAAACTGAAAAGTAGAGAACTAATTGTAAATTATTAGCTTTTTTTTCTCTCATTTAAAAAACACATTTCATGTTAATAAACTTTGCATTAAAAAAAAACATTAAATGCAATTGGAGGTAAATATGTGATTTCAAGAACTAACCTTAGGTGTTGTAAATGAAATTTTTTGTTATCAAAAAATTGTTTTGTAGTCTATAGTGTAAATAAAGACTCTAGGATAAAGTGTAAATTCTTTGACATTGGAGACTCTTTTTTCTAAGGGTCTTTGTTTTGTAATGATATTGAGAGCCCTCTTTTATTCAAGAATTTCTATTTTATAATTTAATATAATTTAAATTTTAAAATAATAAACCCTTTTGTTATTGTAAAAGTCCTAAGTTATTGTATGTGTAAAGTTGGGTTATTAATGAGTAGAATAGTTATGTGAGTAACTTTTGAATTACTCAAACTCGAGCATGATATTGAGTTTGATAAAAAAATGAGCTCGAGTTTGATAATTACTAGTAGGTTATTCATGAATATTCGGTTTAGAGTTAAAAATTATATTATATTATTTATTTATTAAATTTAAATATATAATAATTTGTAAACTTAACAGAGTTAAAAAGTTAATTGAAATAAATTTTATATTTTGAATCATAACTATTAATAAAATATTAAATGGAGTATCAAAACTATTTTAATTACTACACTTAATATGTTTAAGCTTTTGGTAATAAAATTATTGATTGAGTAATTATATATTGAAACATTTAGAATTACACAAAAAAAAAAAAAAAAAAAAAAAAAAACTCGAATTTAAGTTAAATTATTTGTTATATTGGCTTGAACCCGTGAGTAAACTCTAATTCGTTTAAGTACTTATAAACGTGAGCACAACATCAATTATTTTGAGCTCAACATATACTCGAGTTCCATTCAAATTCAAACGATTAAGGTGAGCTAGCTCGAACATGAGTACTTAATTTGGCTGGTCAACAACCCTAATCTAAGGGTAGACAGCATATTTGAAGATAGGTAGTATGGTTTCTTGACCAAATTTTTGTTTAAAATTGGGTATCCTTTTTATATTTTAAAGATAACATTAATTTTTTTTTTCTCAAAATGGCTTCTTTTTACTTTTTTCATTTTGGGCATTATTAAATGTCGAATTAGTATAAATTAGTCATAATAATGGAATGTTCATTCTTAATCCGTTTTTGTTCTCAAAAACAACAAATATTAATAAACCATTGGCTTGAATCGTTAATTGTTTTAAGATTTTTTTTTTTAACAAACACAAATTTAAATAGGGATTTGAACCCATTACTTAAAATAAAAAATATACTTTTTATAAAAATTTATAATTAATTAACCCTTTAAAGTAGGTGTTAATTGTTTTAAGCATTTGTCTATAATATTACGTGAAGTATAAATAAAAACTCAATTAGTTTCGTATTACAAATAAATATTCATCTTCATTTTTTCAACCGAACGAAACATTATTTTTCTTTAACCTTTCTATATCCTAGGTACTATCTGTGAAGTCAAATTATACGACATGGATATCCCTTTTCCTTTCAAACGGTTTTATTGTTCTACGTATAGTTCGGTTTAGAATTAAGAAAAATTCGTGCTGTACGTAATATTACAGTGTGGAAATAATGTCCCTTTCTTTTTTTAGTTTTATTCAGGGTTGAATTCGGTGAGTTGCTTCTATGTTAACTTTTATAGACTCTAAAAACCAATCTTTTATTTAGTAATTAATCTCATATTTGTCTAATTTATTTAAGAAAGTTAACTTCTTTTAATGATGGCACCAGAAGTGAAATTTTGAATTTATTTTATAATACAATACTTACTTATTACTAACTCTATCTTATGATAATTGTTATTTTCTTTTCTTTTTTTAATTAAAGATTTGAAGACTATTTATATATTTATTTATATTGTTTTAAAGAAAATGTTAAAAGATAAAGTATAACTTTTCGTGATAAAATTTATAATCAAAATAAATAAATAATAATAAAATTAAAGTAAGAAAAAATATTTTTTTATCTTAAAAAATGATAATTAATTTAAAATAAACTCAAAATAAAAAAATAATTATTTTAAGACAAAAATAGTAGTAAATTTAATCCTTAGGCCCTGGGATCTTATGTTTCACGATCTTAAATTAAGTACAAATATATCAATATTAAGAAATTGGACAATCCATGGCTACGTCCTCCTTGGTACCCTTCTATATATAATAATCATTTAACAAGCGAGCAGTTGCATGAGGTTAGAAAGAGGAAGAGTACACAAATCAGTTGCATGAGGCTAAGGAGAGGAAGAGTAGTACACAAATTAATCTTCAATACAATCAATGGGTTTAAAGTGAGCAGTTGTAATTTTCAAAAGGTATTGAGTACTCTCTCTATATTTATATTTTTTGAACAGAAGAATTTGGAGGAAAGGGGGATATATTTTTTCAAGACCTACTATACGTAGGATTTAAACACCTTAGGAGGCCTAGCCACTAACGACTTGGGATTGAACTAGTGCGCCATAGTTAGTTAAATGTTACTTCTAACAAATTCATGACCCCATCCATAGTTCTATCAAAATGTGGTCATGTTGCTAATTATGACTTTAGTGTCTTAGTCCGTGGTGGGGTTGCCACAACGTCGATCAGGCTTGGAGAATTTTGGTTATTGGTTGGTTCTTTCTCCATTGGTATTGGATGGTTCTTTCTCCATTGGTATTGGATAGGAACAAATATATGACATTATAATTCTAGATAATAAATAAATAAAAATTGAAAAGTTAATTACCTAAATAGTTGAGTAGTAATCTCTTTTTGTTGAAAATAAAAGATTTTGAGTTCAAATCATATAACATGCAGGTAGGATAAGATAAATGATAAAAAATAATTGCTTTTCATTATGCAACCAAAATAAAAAAATAAAAACAATTAAAAAATTTTAATTTAAATAAAAATATCCAATAAAAATTATATATAAAAAAATTAATTATTATTTATTTATTATATAAAATTATCTAATTAAATTTATTTTAAAATCAAATTAAAACAACTAATTAAGTTTGATAAAAAAGAAGTACTCTTTAGAATCTCGTGGTGTAAGAGTCGATCTTTATCCACAAATCGATTGGATCGCAAAAACTTGGTATGTGATTGGAGAAATGTTGGGACATGAAGATTGTTTAGTACATATCAAAGCTGGGCTTTTTATTTTTGGAACATCCAATTCAAGGGCTGCCCGGGAAGGATGTGATTGGTATACATGAAGAGTTGATGGTCATACATTCATATAAAATTTTAAGTAAAAGTTATATTAGTAAAAAGAAGAAAAATTAACGACCACACATTGGGTGGGGGAAATTAAAAGAGGGGTTTGATGGAATTCTCTAGACCACGTGAAGGGCACCACCCTCAACTCAATAAAGTGTATGGAAAGGGACATGCCTATCTTTGGTAGGGGAAAGGCCAATTGTGAGAGCTGCAACTTGTGCAACTTGACCATTATAAAGAAAGGAAAGGAAGATTTTGTGCTTTTAGTAGAGGAGGTGCGAAGTTTAGGTGGGTCTCAAATGAGAACCTTTTATTTTATTTTATTTTATCTTGTCCCATTTTCAGCCATTTTCTTTGCTTAATTATTGGCTCTTTCGTGTGGGACAGGGTGATGGCCACCACTATAAGTAAAGTAAAGGGGCTGTAGATGGCATCTCCGATCCAAGAGAACTTTTTTTTAAAAAAAAAAATTATCCTGACTTTCGAAATGAAGAGTAATTTTTTTATATTTTATTTTACTTATATATTATATAATTTAAATTTAAAATTTTTTATTTAAAAAAATTATTGTTAAATTATTTAAATCATTAAAGGTATATATATTTGGTAGAGTTTATTAGAGTTTTTATTTTTTTTAGTACTGTTTATGAATTATAAATTTAAATTTTTATTAGATAAAATATTTAAAAATTATTTTTAAAAATGATAAAAAGAGAGTAAAAAGTGAGGTAAAAAAAATTTATAAAAAACAAAAATTTGAAAGTTTTCAAATTCATTATTTAAGATTTTTTTAAGATTAAAAATATTAAAAATATTAATTTTTTAAAAAAAATTTAAATTTATGAAACATAAATAATATTAAAAAATTAAAATACTTATAAATTTCACTCAACAAAATCTAAATTAAGAAAGCTATTTTATTCATTCCGTCGAACAATGAAAAGATGTTAAGCTACAGGCAACCAAATTCATTTGAAGTTGCGTGTTATTTTATTTTATTTTTTAAACAAATTCACGAGGGTGAAAATTGAACCGTTACTTAAAAAAAAAAATACACTTACATGTGACATAATGTCACTGGATCAAAAGTTCAAGTGCAAAGGTGCGTGTTATTTAAACAAATAAATGGAGTAATATTATATTTTCATAAAAATGAAGCAGAGTCTACATAGAACTAATTATAAAATAATATTTTTATATATTTTTACCAGAATGGTAATCAAAATAATTAGATGCAATATGGGACCCATTACCAATTTGTAATCATATATGATGCTTCTGTTACGGGCGTGTAACGTAACACCCATTTCTCAACCAATGTCCTCCATGCCTAAAGGAATTGAATTAATGATGATGCCATGCCTCTCATCTTTAAACTTCTGTTCTTCCTTTTTTCCGTTCTAAGGTTTTATGATGGGTTTTATGTCAAAAAAAAGTCTTCATTTTTCAACTTGCGAGGATCATCCTCAAACTCTGACATTTTCCCAAGGACGATCGAAACGTCTTTTAAAATGACTGGATGGTTCAAGAAAGTCTATGAGATAGGAGAGAAAATTCTCCATCCTATATCATATATATATTCCACTAATTCCAGTATTCCACATTGCAATAGGAAAGAAAGAAAATTTTCAAACCTTTTCCCAGGGAATAAATGACTTTGTATATATAACGACAAATCTCCAAGGACCAAATTTATTTATGGGTTAATAGTACCTACCAACACCTTACAATTCAATTTGAAACTTTATTTTCTTTTGTAAAAACATTTTTCATATGCAAGTCAAATAAAGGGAAATGATGAAAATACTCGAACCTAATTGTTATAGTTCAAAAATCAAGTCTGAACATTGAGACTGGAATTGATACCCCACAAGAAAAAAAAAAAAAGAAAAGAAAAAAGAAGACATAACCTCTAATTCTACATATCATGTTACAATAAAAGTGATAAACAGTAATGAATCGGTGAATAATGCTTGATGATTTTATTTCCACAAAGTTCAAACTGATTATATAACATTTAATCCACAATAGTACAGATTCCAACACACACAAGAATTCTCCCACTAGCTTGACTACTTTGTTCGATTTTGATGACTGTAATCATAGCTCCTTACAAGTTGTATAGCTGTCTTTCTTGTTACAGCTGATAATTCCAAAATGCTGCTGTCGTCACAACAAAATCTTAGCCCGAAAACGATGTTGTGAAATGGCAATCAACACAACAAAAGAACAGACAAAAACCAAAAGGGTAAAATATTGAACCAAAGGAAAACTATCCTACAGATTCTTCCAGCATAAGGGTCATGTTTCCTAAGCAAGCATGAAACTCCTGAAAGCGACAATATATTGTTACGTTTTAGACTAATGATCCCTCCATCTAGGACTTGATAGTGGAAATACCATGCCAGGGGAAGGTGGAGGCTGAGGCCCTGAACCTAAAATCCCTCACTGAGGCCGGGGTGAAAAAGGGAATCTGGGTGTCATTGAAGGAAATTGAACTCCAGGGGATAGTAAAAGATAAGGGGAGCGAGGAGACAAGAAGTTGGGGAAACCAGTGGGTGATGGCAAAAGAAACTGAGAAAAAGCAGGTCCATTCATTCTTGGGGAAAGTATATTAGGTATTGGTGTTAAATGGCCATTTACTCCGCTCGGAGAGGGGAATGGGGGCATTGGTGGATTGGGAAGTAATCCAGAAGAGGGTGGTTGAGTTTGAGACTGATACGGGACGGGGGGTTGCGGTTGAGGTTGAACTTGGCCTCTTACTGGACTTGGATCGATGATATATGCTTGAAGGTAACGCATGTAAGCTGAGATAGGGGACTCTGCAGCTTGTGGTGGAAGTGGAACTGGAGATGGTATTGGGGCTGGGGCTGGAACTTCGACCGGGACCTGAGGAGGAATGAGTGGTGAGTTGACTGGCGTTAATGGGGGAGGCTTAATTTTCTGCAACCTCTGGCTTTGAGGTTTGGGAGGATTCTGTGGAGGCCTGGGTAAAGGTTCTTGTGATTGTGAAGACGAACCCGTTAGCTGCTGTACAAAACTTCGGAAATCATTCTTGCTTACGTTGTAAACATGAGGCTGGGGTTGCTGCTTTGTAGCATTATTAGTAAAACTGGGTTGCAATGGACTCTTCCTTATATTCTTTCCCAGCTTGTTCACACCCAATAGATCATTAGGCTGGTATTTTGAGTTATCCATGTTTAAATCAACTAATCAACAATCTGATGCATGTGGTATGCCTACTAGTATTTTTCCCCAACACCGAATTAGAACCTTGAGCTCCAGGCTCAAACAACACTAAAGTTTTCCAAAGTATATATAACTCAAAAGATCAAATGAACTACATACAAAATCTGAAAACCAAAAATAATAAGAGCTACAGAAGAAATACATACGGTTCCTACATGGAGGGGCCGGGTTCGGTGAAGATATGTTTCTGTTTCCAGAATGAGAAGGAGCAAGGAAAACCCAAGATGATGAAGAAGAGGAGACTGAAATCAAATGTGTTTTTTGTCAATGCGGAAATGAATTAAATGATTTTAATATTTGAAATTTTCAGCTGGGTCATCAGTACGAGTCGGTACCCTTGGCCATCTTGTAGCAGAAGTCCTATGGAGTAATAGGAACTGAAGAAAAGAGCAGAAAGCATGCAGAAGTTAGGCAGATGACAAGAATAATAAGATGCATGCATTTCAACTTTTTCAGCAGCCAACGTGTTTAACTTCTAAACTATCATCACATACATTAATCTGAACATAAATTAACAAAGAGTTAACAATCAACGTCGCGCAAGCAATGTGGGGAATAGGATTTATTAATTGCCTGCTGTATTTATTAAGATTTGATCCTTAAAAATGTCAATGATGTGATGATTATATATTTATATGTGTCCTCCTCAACATTTCTTAAACCCTATTTTTTGGCCAAAGCTAGAAATTAAAATTTGCTGGCAGTAATTTCGTTATAGCGATCAATATTGCTATGATATTTATTTTTGTAAAATACTCAAATTCACTCGTAAAGTATAGTAGTAGGGATGGATTCACCCCGAACAAAAAACGGGGACAAATTCATCCACAAAATTTTTAACCTGGACAAATCACCCCAAATTTAATGTGTAACATCATTTGATGTCAACAATCCGTTAATTTGTTATGTTGCTAATATCGGATTGCTGAAGTCAAATGATGTCACATGTTAAATTTAGGTTAAATGCTCATTTTGATCCCTCAACTTTATCAGTTTGCACAATGTTGGTCCCTAAAGTATTTTATGCACATTTTTTATCCCTTAACTTTAAAATATGCACAACATTTATTCTTCTATCAATTTAGGCTGTTAATTTTGCCACATGGCATTTTTTATAACTTTTTTTATGATATGGTGAAAACAACTTAAAAAGGTGATGATCTGGATTTTTTTTTTTATGACATGTCCCACATATACCAAAATAGATTAACATTTATATTTTTAATAAAAAATAAAAAACTACAAATTTACCTTAATACCCCTATTTCCCTTTCTTGATCCATCTTCTTCCCCTCTTTCAATCCATCTTCTTCCTTTCTTTCTTCCTCTTCCTCCTCTGTGTTGCTAGGTTCCCTCAAACCCAGCTGATCTGGGTTTAAGGGAACCCAGCTTGGGTTCGTTGAAACCCACCTGTTGGGTTCCATTGAACCCAGATCTGTTAGGTTCGGTGGAACCCAGGCTGGGTTCCATCAACCCAAATTTGCTGGGTTCAAGGAACCTAGCGCTGGGTTTCGTCGAACCCAAAACCCAGATTTGCTGGGTTTGAGGAACCCAGCAACTAGGTTCCACCGAACCCAGCTCCATTTTTTTTTTTTTGTTATATTTTTGTTGCGAAAAGTTTATGCAAATTGCAGGTTGTAAGGGATTTTTGGGATCCTTTTGCTTCATATTTCTTAACTATTGTCTAAATGATTTTAATCTTCAAAATGGAAAGAATATCGCCGGCGATGAAAAGAACAAAAGTAGTGACCGATTGGCAAAGAAGAATTTTTTAGTGGGTTTCCATTTGTTTCCATAGTTTAATGATGATTAATTAGTGAAATCTGTGAAAAATCTTTGGAATCCCAACAAATGTAGGGTTTTGAGTGAACTTTAAAGGAGAACGAACATGGTCGATGGTTTTTGCAGGTAGCATGGCACCCATTGGAGGGGCATTGGAGGGGTTTTGGCCCAGGAAGATGACATGTCATAAAAAAAAAAAATTGTTGTCTTCTCCATGTCATAAAAAATATAAAAAATACCACATAGGCAGAGTTAACCGCTTAAATTGACGGAAGAACAAACGTTGTGCATTTATTAAAGTTAAGGGATAAAAAATATGCACAAAATACTTTAAGGACCAAAAATGTGCAAATTGATAAAGTTAAGGGACCAAAATGAGCATTTAACCTTAAATTTTGAGTAATTTGCCCAAGTTAAAAATTTTGTAAGTAAATTTGTCCCTTTTTTTGTTCAAAAGTGAATCCATCTCTACCACTATATTTTGATGGTGAATTTAGATATTCTGTCATCTATTTTAAGTGGCCTATAATGGTCCACTAAACCAAGGCTCAAGTAGTAACTAGTAAGTAGTTGCAACTCTTGGATCGGTGGGAGTTTAGCTCCAACATTGCTTAAGTTTTATTTATTTTTTATTATATTTATTAAAGATAAATTTTTTACTTAATAAGTTGTAATAAATTTTAATTATTGAAAATAAAAAGATAAATAATTAAAATTTTATGTGTTATATAACTAAAACTTATATATAAGTAAATCTTACTCTATACATATGAAAGATAATGTATGTAAATCCTAATTTTAAAAAAAAATTAAAGTACTAATTTTAAGTTATATAGTTATTTTATTTAATTAAAATTCAATTCAAAATTTGAAAATCTAACAAATTTAATATAATTGATTTTCAAATACAAATACCAATATTTAGTAAAATAAATTTTAAATTCTTAAATTAAATTTTAATTAAATAAAATAATATTATTTAATAATACAACATCCTTTCATTTTCTCCTCTTCCCTCCTCTCATTTAAAACATACAGTAATTTTATAATTATTTGTTAACTTTAATATTTATTATATTATAAAAACATTTCTTTATTTTTTTAAAAAATAATATAAATAAAAATAAAAATTAACTTTTTATCTTTAATCCAAAAATAAAATTAAAAAAAGTGAAATTGGGAGTATTTCTAGATGCTGCAGTGCAGAGCCAACCTCTCCAGTACCCATATCAGGTCCACATAGCGAAAAGTCTTTTTGATTACAAAATTGAGAGTGGTTTTTGGGGTTCTGACTGCCTTTTCTTGGTAACATCGGCACCCTGAAATTACTGGAAACACCTCAGACAATCTCCGCTTCCGTAGCTCCTCTCTGCCTGTCACTCACTTCCCATCTCTCAATCATCCGCAATCTGCATTCCAAGAAAAGAAAAGGTACCTCCTTTCATCTCTTCTTCTAGTCTCCGCACCCAATTTTAATTCTTTTGTGGTTTTGTTTCTCGGTTCTGCATATTGCAATTTTTTTCCACTGCTAATCTTCTTATGTACTTTTAAGTAAAAAAAAAAAAATTTTGCTTTTTGATTCTAAGTCCCAGAATTTAGCTTTTCCGGATTACCTCTGCTAATTGCTAATGTGGGTTTTTTATGTTTGGGTTTGGATTTTTGGGTTGTTGTGTTAAGTGGTGGATTATTTGTTTCTACTGCTCTCAATAGATAATTTAGTTTTCTTGATACCAAAGTGTGTTGAACATACCAGTATATCAGGCATGGTTGTTGTTATTGACATCAGAGACTGCTGAATATTAAAATCTTTAGAAATTAAAGAAACAAGATTTTGGATAGTTTGATATTGGGATTACTTGTGAAGGTAAAAGAATCTAGTCAAGATTTCTTACATTTCTGAGGATTGATGTTCTGATGCAAGTTTCCAAAGTAAGTTTCGTGGTTGATTCCGTGCCTAATTGATATCTATATGAAATTTTACAATGGAGGAACCTTAGGATTCTAGGAGCAATTAAGGTTGTAATCCTTAAGAACCCTAATTAATGATTCAATTTTATATATATTCTGCTGGAGAAATTTGAAATTGTTGTCTGTTCATCTTAAAGTAATGTGCATCATGTCAATTGTTTCACTGTTCTAAAAATAGCCATTTTTATGTAGACATTAAAAAGTAGACATACCAACAAGAGCTTGGCTGAGTTGATACCTATTAACTTAAAAACCTTGATTTGGGGTCAAGATCAGTGGTTTAAACCTGTGTGATGCTAATTGGCTAACCCTATAATGTATTAAAAAAAAAAAAGGGGGGGAAACATGTCTGTTTCTATGTGTTAACGGTTGGAACAAATTGTTTGTACTTTAGAAGGAATTTGTGCATAAATTGTCTGTTTAAATGAAATGACTATTGTATTGTCTCCAACGAAGGTATGAAGTTTATGGAATCCATGCTGAGGATACTCAATGTCCATTTCTAACAAAGAGAGTTGATCAGTCAAGTATTTAAAGAATTTAATCCTTAGGAGCATTGGCCTGTTTATCTTCTTTATATATAACATTTTTTTAGATTTACAACAGTTAGATCTTAAGCAACAGAATATTTATGTTTTAAAGCCATTTCCCTGGAAGAATATTTGGTCTTTTTCCTACATACACACTTTAGAGAGTAGCATCCATGAATAAAACATGGTAGTTCAGAAGGTACTGAATCCTGAGCCCCAGGCATATGTAGTTTTGTTCCTTTATCCCATTCCTTTGTTTATAATTGAAGCCTAATAATATGTAACCTTCAGTAGGAGGTCATGTGGTGAGGAAAGGAAACGAAAATCCGTTGCCCTCTCTTTTAGGGATCTCTGCTTCAGCATTGCATGCTACCCTGGTTCTCCACTTGCACTTCACTGTACACTTCCCAAAGAACAAATCTAGTGATTCTGGACATGAGCATGTATCCCCTTATTTTGCAACTGACTCCCAACCTACGTAGCTGGTAAATCTGTAAATCTGTGCATGCATGTATTTATACCGTTCACAGACATGTTACACAATTTACTCATTTATACATGGAGGCAGAAATAGAAGTTCCTGGTATCTTCAAAGATCTTACTTCTTCACCCCCTGCCCCCTTTTCTTTCCCACTCTTCATCCGGCATAAAGTTATAAATTTGTCATACATTTTTTTTGGTATAATTTAGTTTATCACGACTTCTGAATTGTTGTTTCTGTTATTGTACAGATCCCAATTAGATTGCCAGGGCTGAAGTGGACTACGTGATGGTAGCCAAGTGGATATTTCATGGATCAGAAAGCTCTTTCTGATAAGAAATTTCGGAGCACATCACAACCAGCCAGAAACTAGTACCTTAATGGTCGTTAGATTCCCTCATCATTAAATTTAACTCATGCGTGTGCTGACCTTTGTGTGAACTGTGGTATGGAAGACGTGCAAAATATGAATAATGTGGGAGTGCAAGGAACTTCCTTGATTAAGTCAGATCCTGAAAGCCATAATGACCTAATTGCTCGCCGCATGAAAAACCGAGAACGCCAGCGTAGATATAGGGCCAGGAAGCGCCTTGAAGCAGATCAGAAATCCCATGTCCTAAACCAATCAACCATACAGCAAGTGAGTTTGCCGGAAAATGGGATTCTTAACAGTGGCATGAAACGTGTTCACTGTAAACGGGATTGGAAGAAAGATGCAAGAAGGGCCAACATGTGTAGAGGTCAAGAAGACACACCAAATGTTACCGCGCAGCCTGCTATTACTGTCACATCTGAAAGCCAAGTACAATGCCCGCCCTCTGCAATTAAGGCGGACGTGATGCTTGAAAGGGAACCACATTCTGAGAATTCCCACAGCCAGGGTATGTGTGAGACAACCAACACTAAGCTTGGTCGAAGAGACTGGAAAGCAGAAGCAAGGAAGAAGAAAAGCTAAAGTTGTTGTTACCTAGTTGTTCTGTGAAATAAATGTAGTATAGATACAGGTTGAATACCTAAGTTTGTAATGGCAGCTAGAACTTGTTTTAAGTCAGTTTGTTCCTGCATTTAGGAAAAGCTGTTATTGTCATGTTTCTTAACTTGTTTTAACAGGCTCGTTTTTCATTCAGATGAACATCATGGATGATGTGTAATAATAGGAAAAATTAGCAGAACGCTAATATTATTTGCGTTTCTTCATCTAGGGTCCAAGGCTTGTCTAACACCCATTTCTGTTCTCTTTCTTTTCTTCCTCCTTTTGTGAGTTAGATGTAATTAGAGCATTTGATCTTGCATGACAGCATCTTTCATTTTTTGGCCTTCAAGCATGACACTATGTTGGAGTTGGAGTTTGAAGGAAATGGGGGAGAAGAAATGGATTTTCGTCTAACCAAATGGAGGCATTAGATGATTAGATGAAAATCTTTTGTTTAATTGGACAAATATTCAATCCTTTCATTTCCTCTTTTATTATTATTTTTTTCTTTCTTTGCATTTTTAAGCAATTCAGTCATTCCCTCAATTGTCCACTACGAACTCTAATTTAAGGAACATTCTTATTTAAATTGGAACCATAATTTAGAATTGGTTTTGCTCTGTTTCCGGAAAGACATTAATGGTCCTAAATTAAACACTCCATTTGCACAAACATATATATCTTCTGTTTCTTCTTCCGACCATTGTTGTAACCTCAATGTAAACATCCCCTAACTTCCAATCCCATTCCATTCCTTCCCCAACAACCGACCACCCTACCTGGTCTCTGGACAACGACTAGATTGATTTATCGACACAAAAAATGAGCTTGATCAATTGCCTGACCTGCCAGGACCTGCAAAGAACAAATTCCGACATCAATATAGATTATGATAGAGTCGATCCAAAGCCTCATTTCCTGTCGGATTTAACATGTTGTTTGCGGAGCTGGTCGGAGAATCCTCGGCCACCGCCATACGAGCAAATATATATTTTCGTTAAGCCAAAAAAACCATACGAGAGAGTAGGTGGAAGTGGGCCTCTCGTGACCCCGGCCAAGAAAGTGATAATGAAGAGTCACCGCCGGATTAATAGCACAGGAGCTGTCTCGTATGAAACCGGCGGTGAGCCTAGGTTGGTTCGGAGCAGCGGAATGAGGAGGGATTGGAGCTTTCTTGATGATTTGAGGGAAGAGAAGAGAATATTAGAAAACTAACAAATACCATACGTATTCATGAGCATGTGAACGCATATGCTATATACCACGGTTACACCAGGTCAGATATATAAATGCAACAATTCGACTTCTCAATAACAGTCGTGTTGTAAATTCACATGACTCACCATATGTTATTCACTTTATTCATTAAAATATTTTTGACTCATTACATGTAAGATATGTCACAGTGATATTGTAGATCATATCCGTTCATGCATGGATATATATAGATATTTTTTTTATATCCCTTTCTTTTTCATGATCATTGTTTAATTAGTTATTGATTAATTTTTGTTTTCTTGATTCTTTTTGGTGGATCCAACATGGGGATCTCAAATGTATTGGTTGAAGTCTGTTACCAGAGACTGTATTTTGGGTTTGCTTTGGCTACGCTCCATGTTCCAAAAACTATCTAATTCCTGTAAATTAATCTTTGTATTGCTTTCTTAATTTCTTGAAATCTTTCGGTTTCATGTCCTTTAGTAGGGGCCTTCCTTTTGTTTTTTCAGTGTCTTTTCAGTAGTAGACATATATGTGTTTGTCTTCAATGATCCAAATGTTCAAGTGGGGGAGTGCTAGTTGACAAACGAAAGCTAACCAGGGTACATTTAATGACCACATTCCATTCATTTAATCATCTATCTTGTTGGTCATAAGCTAGCTAGGGTACAATTAATTGACCACATTCCATTCATTTAATCATCTTACCTTGTTGTCCTGGGAATTGCCTTGCTATTAAAGTATCTGGACTTAAATCATCCAAATTGTTGACTAATGAAAGAGGTACAAGCAGGCTATGGACCGACTAGCCTCAGTTTCTGCCAAAAATCTAATCAACTTTTCATGAAGTCTTTGGTTTGTAGTAATTGTAGCATTTGGGTAAACATGCCCTCATGAATACTCACGTCAAGTCATGGAAGTTCTGCTGTCAAATGTTGGTGCATTTCTGGCATGAAAAGATGAGGGCAGGATTTTCACCTACTCGCCCACAGAAGAAACCAAACTCACAGGGGAAAAGGAAAGGTTTCTGATCAATCATAAGGGTAACAGGGCCCCCTTCAACACACAGATAACTGATAAAGACTTAAGAGTGCCAAATTGCCTGTATTCCCACAAAAATTAAAGCACATGAAACATGCTTGGTATGATACTATGATTCCCAATTTTCAATCGGGAACAAGAGATGGAATGTTGGGGTTCTTATGTCAACATTGACAAGCATACAACAACTCAACATAAAGGGCACCACGCATGCTTCATGTCCCCTCCAAATTTAGGCAATTCTATTTCAACTGATTATAGTGGCGTGTTAAACAAACATTCATAAAACCCAGCAACTTCATCAGGTTTGAATTTATAACAATAGGCTTATATACATCCAAGATAAACTAAAATTCAACTCAATGGCTATTTTCACTTAACCGGAGCATATCAATGTCCATAATCTTTGAGATTATATAGAACATTAACAGACAGCTCCATCAGTTCAGATACCCTCAAACTAGAACTACACTACACACTAACAACAAAATACAAGAATATGCTACAGAGCTTGTGCCCTCCGGGAACCTTAAAATTTCTCAGAGAATTAAGAATCATCATCCATGAAACTCCATTCCAGTAATGTCAAACTCTTCCCGATGCTTGGTTGGCTAAACCCTAAAGCTCTGCTCTGATATATTTTCTCCTCTATCGAGCGTCACCAACTTTGGATGTCAGAGCCAATCTGAGCTGCTCCTGTGTGTATGTTCGACTCACCATCTTCACTGTAGCTTGCTGTATCATCAAATCATTCACCACTGATACACTGGCGTGATGCACCTCGAGGTCTAACTCCCTCAATGCCGACATTAGCCTTGCTGCGGGGTGGTTGGATTTACTGCACTGGATTCGGATCATAGCATCCCATTGCATTATCTTCACATCAATATCAATGTCAATACATTTGCTTTCACGGCTTGACATCCTGAGATCATGATCAGCTGCAGATCCCGAATTTTTGTTAGCCAATTCCTTCTTCATGGTGTCCAATTGTCTCTGCAACTCCTCCTTCTCTGCGTCTGTGTTTTGAAGTTTTCCTCTGAGCTCCCTTATGTATGAAATGGCATCGCCAAGAAGAGATGCTTTGTCCATCTTTGACACATTAGGAACCTCAGCACGCAGTGCATAGAACCTCTGGTTAAGCTTCTCTCTTCTTTGACGCTCAGCTTCAACATGATTCAGTGGCTCTTCTCTACCATTTGCAGGTTTTCTTCCTCGTTTTCGTGGCCTCTTTTCAGGTTCAATAACTCTGCTACTATCAGCCTCCTTAACAACAGAAGCTTCGATGTCAGAATGGTCTGAATCACCGGCTCCAACACTTGATTTCACCACTCCAGAAGAAGGCAAAACCACACCAGAACCTGAAGTAAACGACAGCATCCCTTCTTCATTGCTCCCTCTTGAAGTGGGTGACCTCCTCTTCTTATTCTCCTCAGTCAGAATCTGGGAATTACCAGAGAACAAATTCCCATTCCCACTACAGGAACTCCTCTTACTCTCACTGAAATTCAGTATCTCCCCAGACTCCGGCTTCAAGAAATGAGAATTTCCATTCCTCACACTGTTCCCATCAAACCCATACTCGGAGAAATTTAGGCAAAAACCCTGCCTCTCCTGTTGATGGCTTTGTTGCTGGGGATGATGATTCTGAACAGTAATGGCACTAGGATTCTCAGATAAAGAACTAGAACTTGGGTTCTCAAACTGAATCGTCTTTGAAATATGCTGGTTCTGATTGTTGGCATTACTATTACTACTATTTAACCCAGAACCAGAAGCAATTCCAATATTATTCTCCTTGATTTCGACTCCATTTATGGGATCATTTAGCCAGAGGGATGAAGGGTCGTTCTCACCCTGATCTGGATTCGTGTTCATCAACCACGAACCGGCCTCCATACAATTATTGAAATTAAACAAAACACGAACCTTATTCATCAGATCAGAACTCTGCAAGATCAGCTCCGTAGACCCCAATTCAACAACCCCATTCGCCGACGGTATGCACGCCATGGTTTGCAATCCGAACACTTGCCCTTGCCTCGCCCGCTCACACATCGATGTCGCGAGCCGATCCTTCCCGGCGACCCAGATGGGCCTGGATTCGAGGAACGCCTGACCAGGCAACCCGTTTCCATTGACAAAAGACTGCGTCATAGAAACTAGAAAGAACCACTCGGTGTCGGTAACCTCCTCGTCCACGGCATCGTCGGTGGTCGGTGAAGAGCCGGAAATCAACGAATTGAGCTCTCGGAGCACTTTCTTACGGTGATGCTGCTCAGCAGCTGAGGATGACGTCTTCAATTTCCCTTTCCCCTTATCCTCTTCCCCTTTATAGTACCCATCTCCCCATCCCAGAACAGAAGCCCCAGAGTAATCATAAGACGACTGCCAGAAAATCGCGTAGGTCCAGTTTTCGCCAGCGCCCTCAATCAGAGCCTGAAAGCGCTGCTGGAGGGTCTCCTGGTTGAAAACCGAGACCTGCGGCTGCGATTGCTGCAGTGCCTTGGCTGGGTCAGTAACTGGGGTGGAGGTAGACGCAGAAGACTGAGAAGGCGGCCAAAGACCAGTGAGATCGGAGGTCATGAATGCTTCCATGACAGACGCGTTGTCGTCCGTCCAAAGATTCATCGTCGGCAGCAGTCGATAGTCCGTCATTCCATAAACACCACAGTATTTGAATTGGTCGGAATATCAGAAAACTGGGTTTTAGAGGGGGAAAGTGAGGGCTGAGAGTGGAGGAGGAAGACGAAGAGGAAGAGGAAGAGGAAGAAGAAGAGGAAGAGGAAGATAATCGTGGTGTGGGGGCACAATTTGGGTTCTTAAATGGGGTTTGGGACTTTTATTTGGGAAGAAGGATGGTGGGTGGAAATAGGACGATGGAGAGTGGACAAAAAAAAAAAAAAAGGAAGAAGAAGAGGGATGGTTTCGACTTTCGACGAAGGAGGGCGATTAAATCGGTAAAAAGCCGGCGTCGCGTAGGCATCAGAAGCCACGTGGGTGAGTTTAATTTATTGACCGTAGTTGAGAAAACCGTGGGATTGTGGGACCAGCTCAGAATAAATTAAAGTGCGCTACTATAAAGTGTTAATTTATTGTTAAGAGTAAATTATTTTTATTAAAATGGAAAATAATCT